TGCATTAAAATGCAATCGGTCAGCGCGAACACACAAGCTATGGAGAATATTAATACTCACCAACCATCAAAATTTCGGCTGGTAAATTCATAATAGGAACTCGCAGATGTCAGTAGTCTCACAGGTTGCAGAAAATGTGGTTAACTAGTATACTTAAGGGATTGAAGTCTTCCCAATTCGTATGCTGCCTACATCTAACAAACGTCAACAGTGAAATATGTAAGAAGGGCGGAAGATATTTTAATAAACCTCGGTGATACAGAGAGTAGGCAGAGAGAAACTACTGTTAAGGTGAATTCTGGGCTGATGAATTTAAGTTTGGCGTTCTCCACGATTCCAGTCTGCGCTACAAAACGCCCATGACGTTTTAGGATGTCACTGTCCAAGTAGGTTTTTAGAAAACTTGTAACCTCGAGCTGAGGTAACATTTTCACAGAAAGAACGCATCGAGTTAAGTAATCTTAGCTCAAATATGTAACTAAATTCATTCATGTGATTCTGCAACTATTAGCTTTCAACCTCAGCATAGTTTCTACTCTATTGCTAACTTAATAGAAACATTTGAGGAAAAAACTCAACACAACTCACCGCAAATGTTCATCCTATTTCAGTGCATGATCGTTGGCCATTCTTCCCTTATCTCCATCCTTGCCGTTGATAAAGCCTGTTTCTGCTTCACGCAGGCCTTGACACCATGCAGGACTCACTTTTGCATACTTTGTGCCCGTACCTGTGTGCGGGATGGTAAGACAGTTGATTAGCTGGAAGAAGCAAAATGACTGAAGCTAGTACATGCATAACTATAATTTTTCCTCCTCATGACCTGATGTGGAAATCTACGCAGATCTTTCCATCTGACTTACACAAGTGATCCGTATCCCAAGCCATTAACGCGTCTCTATTGTCTTACAACACTGTGATTCCCTTCTTTTCCGCACCGTGCAACCAAATGCTGATCTGTCCAAACCAAATGGCTTAGGAACAACAAGTCATAACTACATTCCATAGGGCATGAAATGAATAGATTTGGTGCTTCTAGCGGGTGAATGAGACTCCCACATTCTTGTTTGCTTCTAATTTATGGAAATTCTCGACCACTTTTGGACTTGCCTGGCCCCAGACGTGTACCCAAACGAGTTGTGTCATTTTCGGTCGTCTTTTTATCTGATATTCATAGCCCTTGACGGCGCTCATCTTCCACAGTCTTTCACTGTTTTTGACCAGCTCCAGGCATCTGGTGCCTTATCCCGGGTCATTGGTTTGAAGATTGTTCCATTTAGGTATGATCAAGAAAACCGCCACGCCTATTCGGGCACCTTCACCGACATGAGTGATTATTCTAGCCACCAGCACCTGCGAGATTTCGTGCGTTATCCTTCACCTGAGTCAAGGGAAAAATTGCGTCCACCCTGTAAATTCATCTGTGAGCACTGATTCTCATAAAATAGCGCTGCAGTAGCGTGACAGTTACAATCCACAATCAGTTAAAGAGGGGGACAATAATGTAAAACTCTAAGCGTTTCGCTCATTCTAAGTACCGGGCAGATGTATTGTAGCTCGAAGCGTTCCAAACGCAAATCGATCGCCGTGAGGACACTGAAAGTTTTTAACTCCAGACTTCGTCCCCCAAAAGAAACCAGTCTATGCCGAAGGGCCAAGAGTCATCTTTTTCAGATAAGCCCCGCCAAAACACTAACACCCGCTACACAAAAAAGATTAGAAAAAAGATGATATGAAATTTGTACATATAGTTTTTATCGAAGGGGATAAAACTGGGACGTGTCATTATTAATCTGCATGAAAAGGTCCGTTTTTTGGTACCTTCGCCTCCAAACGAACTCACACAAGTAGCTGTCCACTAAAGATCACTGTGTGCTGCATTGGCGTTTATTCTGTGCCTTGTAGACGTGCCCTGTGTGGTTTTACGGTGAGATATTGGCGTTTCATCGATCTCGACGTGTACACCTGGGCCGTCGATAACTGCTGGAGCCTGCAAAAGCCACCAGGCGCAAACTTCGCGAAGAAATTTCTTCCGGTCAACAGTGGTCGTGTGGTTAATAGATAATTCCCCCTAGCAGAATTTGATTTTCACAATTTTTTTGGACCAGCAATAAATGAGTAGAATTACTGTCCTTAATTCCATCCTAGACCGCTCCAGTCAAGTGCCCTTTCGAAGACCGATTTCTTGCCGACACTGTCGGGCATTACACCTCCACATGTCAGAAACAGTTGAAAGTGTCATTTGGTGGCCATTGTTGCATAAACGTTGCTGATGAATCATTCCGTGGCTTTGCGAAAAACGTATTGCTGTCTCCTTGTCATGAACGAGAGTTGAAAACGTCAGAACGTTCACTTAAAGTCTTATGTCCGAACGGAGAAAAGTTTGCACAAAATGAGCCTAGATGCGGATAAGGAACTGTTTTCATCAAAAATAGGTCAAGGTTGTGTGAGTACATTAAATTCGAGCTGGCAAAAAGTGGCGGGACTTCACTTTTCGCCTACGCACTTTTTGCATTATTGGCAGGGCCTATTTGGAAAAGACCCAAGATCCATTAATTTTGAAAATCACCAGCAGTGCGTGTCTCAGGAGTTGTGAATGCGCAACCACATGGCTAGTAATCTGAACATTTAACCGGTCGGCAACAATCCGTTGATCAGCAGTGTGACTGACTGTGACTGTTAAGGTTCCCGATACGGAACTTTGAGTGAAGTGTACGTTCGACAATCCCGAACGTCAAATAAAAGAATTGGGTTCGAAATTCTACAGTACCGTTCACAGAAGAATGAGCAAATTTATACAACAAAACTCGATTGCCAGCGTTCGTAGCTTCAACAAGTGTGGTACAGTGCGGTACAGCCGCACACCAGACAGCGGAGGGCGGAATGTTGGCTCAATAGTGTAGTTTGCGGTCTTATGATTCTCATTGGGGTTGCGATCAGACGGAACTCATGAAAAGACAAGTCAAGGCAGGCTCAACAAGCGGAATACTAACGCACGTGAGCATGTAGGTCGGCTGCGCACATTCACACACACATGCTAGCAAACGGGTGTCGGACGGGACGGCCTCTGCGCCGAAGCGACTGACAGGTACCGATGAGCAAAACAAGTGGGGATCACAAGTGCATGAGGTCAAGTTAGATTTTTTACCATCACTCATCCTCCAATCGCGGAATCCACATCACGTGGTCATGGGAGGACCGGCTTTTCGATGGACTACTACCCAGAGGCCAGTGTCACTCACGTCGCGAATTTATTCTTCCTCAGAGAAATTTCCTGTGTGAGGTCTCTGGTCGTGAGTCTGTTTTGATTCTCTGCTGATTCCTATACGTCATTAATTGGTGAATTAAACACCTAATCAACGCCGAGACGTGGGGCCCAAATGTAGAGTCTGTTCTGATAAGCGGCTACCAGGAGCGAACTGCTGAAGACAGTATACAAGCAAACAACCATTCATAACAAGGTAGATTTTAGATGAGGTTTTCTGCTCACGTGCGTTAAGATATGATTAGGCTGTCATTTTTTTTAGTCTGTCATCATCACAGAACTAATTTAATCCAAACGGAGACCGATACTTGGATGGTCATTTTTGGTCATTTTTGTTCAGTCGGGCAGACTGGTGGTGCTTTTACCGAAAATAGATCTCGAATTTTGATATTGCTTATGCAGCAAGAGTTGGAGGCTGAGTGGCGATTTTGATAAGCTTGTTTTGTGAAATAAGATCGAAATAGACTAGAACAATAACCAGACAAGGTAGATTTTAGATGAGGTTTTCTGCTCACGTGCGTTAAGATATGATTAGGCTGTCATTTTTTTTAGTCTGTCATCATCACAGAACTAATTTAATCCAAACGGAGACCGATACTTGGATGGTCATTTTTGGTCATTTTTGTTCAGTCGGGCAGACTGGTGGTGCTTTTACCGAAAATATATCTCGAATTTTGATATTGCTTATGCAGCAAGAGTTGGAGGCTGAGTGGCGATTTTGATAAGCTTGTTTTGTGAAATAAGATCGAAATAGACTAGAACAAATAACCAGACTCGAACCAGACTCGAACGTGGTCATCGAGTGTCCTCAGTGGTGTAAGGCAACAAAAAACAATATTGATTATAATTAGGCACTTCAGAAATGAGGTGGACAGCGTTAAAACCACCAGAGATCATTACCTATTTTCTTATAAAAATTCATCCCTGGAAGTGTTCACCATGTTACGCGCGTTTTCTTCAGATGCTGCTGCTTCTACCTGAGTTATTCAGGCAGCTATTTTGCTGTGTGCCGTTGAACAAACTAAGTAGTGTATATTTAAAATTAGAGTAGTAATTAAGGCACCCACTTGTTTCTCGTGAATCACTTTGTTTAACTTGAGGCATCCAGAAACAGATTAACTCAAAGGATCGATGGAGAAATTGTATCATATCTGACACCTGCGGTACGACGATACGATGTCGGTTATAGCAGACACCACCTTCATCGACAGTTCACTGAAAGAACGCTAAAAACAAGTGATTACTCAGAATGCGGTAGGGACTACCGTGTACTTGAATCTCATACGGAATGAATGGCTTGTCGTCAGTGTTCTTCCCTTATGCCTGGCACTCTGTTCCCAGCCAGATAAAACTGGCAACAGTCTGAGTAAGGTGATCGTCTCTGAAACTAGGGCTGAGTCAAAGTTAACACTGTTTTTAAGGTAGGCGTAGACGACCTAGAAACAGCTCGGAGTACACGAGAGTCTCGTTAGGCAGCAAGATCGGTAGTTCACTTTTAGAGCCACTTCTCAGTCTAGCTTTTCAGAGATTTCTCTGAAATTTCTACAGTGACGTGCATCGTTAAAGGTGAGAAATAGTAACCCTGCGATCATATTCTCCGAGCCTGACATACTGATCAAACAGCTGATTGCAGTGTTCATTGATTGGTAGAGCTTGTGTGCGCATGATTGCACAACATAGCTATTCGCCTATCTCTAGATTTTAAAATCTCAATGTCGCTATTAGACAGACAGACCTACGGATTAAGCCACTATCCACGGCTCCATACAGCGGGAACAGGCGATCAATTGTGGAAATTTCGGGTTGTTTGATACACAATGACGGAGGAAGAAATAGGATGGAAAGACACTAATTTGGCCCTGTTTGGTTCTGACCTTGAAAAGCAAGTCAAAAGTAAGTTCTTTTTTGTTTCAGTGACAGTGAGAGCTTATAGTTCTTGGCCCCAGAGCATAAATAGTGGTTCGTAGCTTCAACAAGTGTGGTACAGTGCGGTACAGCCGCACACCAGACAGCGGAGGGCGGAATGTTGGCTCAATAGTGTAGTTTGCGGTCTTATGATTCTCATTGGGGTTGCGATCAGACGGAACTCATGAAAAGACAAGTCAAGGCAGGCTCAACAAGCGGAATACTAACGCACGTGAGCATGTAGGTCGGCTGCGCACATTCACACACACATGCTAGCAAACGGGTGTCGGACGGGACGGCCTCTGCGCCGAAGCGACTGACAGGTACCGATGAGCAAAACAAGTGGGGATCACAAGTGCATGAGGTCAAGTTAGATTTTTTACCATCACTCATCCTCCAATCGCGGAATCCACATCACGTGGTCATGGGAGGACCGGCTTTTCGATGGACTACTACCCAGAGGCCAGTGTCACTCACGTCGCGAATTTATTCTTCCTCAGAGAAATTTCCTGTGTGAGGTCTCTGGTCGTGAGTCTGTTTTGATTCTCTGCTGATTCCTATACGTCATTAATTGGTGAATTAAACACCTAATCAACGCCGAGACGTGGGGCCCAAATGTAGAGTCTGTTCTGATAAGCGGCTACCAGGAGCGAACTGCTGAAGACAGTATACAAGCAAACAACCATTCATAACAAGGTAGATTTTAGATGAGGTTTTCTGCTCACGTGCGTTAAGATATGATTAGGCTGTCATTTTTTTTAGTCTGTCATCATCACAGAACTAATTTAATCCAAACGGAGACCGATACTTGGATGGTCATTTTTGGTCATTTTTGTTCAGTCGGGCAGACTGGTGGTGCTTTTACCGAAAATATATCTCGAATTTTGATATTGCTTATGCAGCAAGAGTTGGAGGCTGAGTGGCGATTTTGATAAGCTTGTTTTGTGAAATAAGATCGAAATAGACTAGAACAAATAACCAGACTCGAACCAGACTCGAACGTGGTCATCGAGTGTCCTCAGTGGTGTAAGGCAACAAAAAACAATATTGATTATAATTAGGCACTTCAGAAATGAGGTGGACAGCGTTAAAACCACCAGAGATCATTACCTATTTTCTTATAAAAATTCATCCCTGGAAGTGTTCACCATGTTACGCGCGTTTTCTTCAGATGCTGCTGCTTCTACCTGAGTTATTCAGGCAGCTATTTTGCTGTGTGCCGTTGAACAAACTAAGTAGTGTATATTTAAAATTAGAGTAGTAATTAAGGCACCCACTTGTTTCTCGTGAATCACTTTGTTTAACTTGAGGCATCCAGAAACAGATTAACTCAAAGGATCGATGGAGAAATTGTATCATATCTGACACCTGCGGTACGACGATACGATGTCGGTTATAGCAGACACCACCTTCATCGACAGTTCACTGAAAGAACGCTAAAAACAAGTGATTACTCAGAATGCGGTAGGGACTACCGTGTACTTGAATCTCATACGGAATGAATGGCTTGTCGTCAGTGTTCTTCCCTTATGCCTGGCACTCTGTTCCCAGCCAGATAAAACTGGCAACAGTCTGAGTAAGGTGATCGTCTCTGAAACTAGGGCTGAGTCAAAGTTAACACTGTTTTTAAGGTAGGCGTAGACGACCTAGAAACAGCTCGGAGTACACGAGAGTCTCGTTAGGCAGCAAGATCGGTAGTTCACTTTTAGAGCCACTTCTCAGTCTAGCTTTTCAGAGATTTCTCTGAAATTTCTACAGTGACGTGCATCGTTAAAGGTGAGAAATAGTAACCCTGCGATCATATTCTCCGAGCCTGACATACTGATCAAACAGCTGATTGCAGTGTTCATTGATTGGTAGAGCTTGTGTGCGCATGATTGCACAACATAGCTATTCGCCTATCTCTAGATTTTAAAATCTCAATGTCGCTATTAGACAGACAGACCTACGGATTAAGCCACTATCCACGGCTCCATACAGCGGGAACAGGCGATCAATTGTGGAAATTTCGGGTTGTTTGATACACAATGACGGAGGAAGAAATAGGATGGAAAGACACTAATTTGGCCCTGTTTGGTTCTGACCTTGAAAAGCAAGTCAAAAGTAAGTTCTTTTTTGTTTCAGTGACAGTGAGAGCTTATAGTTCTTGGCCCCAGAGCATAAATAGTGGAACGTTTTAGATTGCGTTTACTCATCTGACCAATAAAATAACTACGAAGTCTATTACGTTTCAACAACACTTTCCGTAGGCTACATAAAAGTAGCATTCAAGGCAACTCAATTTCACAAAAGTGATAATTTTTCGAGTCGTTTACAGGTTCGGTCTATGGCTGATACATTATTTCATATAAAATTGTTATATATATATATATATATTCAGGCACTTATTCTTAGTACACTTCGACCCCGGTGATACGTATTATATGTTATTACCGGACATTATATTATATTACTTGTATATTATTATTATTTATTGTTATATTATAGTATATTATACCAGGAATTATATTCCTGGGCAAAAAATGAGAGTGTGAATCTCAATGACCAAGTTCACTTAAGTTAACGTCAAACAGTGCAAGGAGATTTACAGACATTATGATCAATATACTTATCCAGATAAAAAAATAATGCGCACCAGCTTCCACTTGCTAATGAAGATCCTCAAAAGTTTGGTCGAAGAAATATTCTGGATGCCAGACAAAACAACGTAAGCCTAATAGACTTTTTAATAAATAGCAGTATTTTACCCAATATTTTATAATTTGTGAATTTGCTGGCATAACTTAAACGGTCGGTTTTTTAGAAGCAAACACAGGTTTTTAACGTGAATTCTCTTTAAACGTTCTTCAAGTTTAAGTTAAAAACTATACTCCACAGCTGTTGTGTCTTCAGTTTTGCAAAAGCGCATCGCATGTGATTCTGTCAGTTCATGAAGGTTGAAGATAGAGCGAAAAGCAACAAAGGCAATTTTGAATGATACATCGCTGATCGGTTTCGAAAATTTTTAGAAGATAATAGAAATTGAGAGGAGATGCCATTCCTTAATCGTATGTCCCAGTTGCCCTCTGTTCTTGGAGATCTCATGCGGAATTTCACTCATGTACTTGTTCACCACCCAATGAATACCCGAAATTAAAATCGTGTTTTGATTGTTTCAGAGGAAGCTGCTTATGGAGAGCCATCCTGGGAGCCAGTTCTTCGTCAAACAGAGCCACGGCTTTTTGTCTGGCGTATCCAAGTAAACTTGTTACAGATTTTTTTTTAACTTTTCAATGAACTATCCGCTTCGGAGTGTTTTCAACAGTCGAATCTGATTTTCAAGTTCTTCATTTTAAGTGTGAATACTTCCTCATCCAAGTCATACTCATTATTTTCTGAGCCAACCCTATCAAAGCATTTGACATCGTTATGTATGTACTTTCTGTCCTCGTCAGCTGAGAATAAAAGAAAAACGTGTAGCAGAAGGAACATTTATCCCGTGGATTAGACCCATATGTTTCGTGAAAACAGATTTAGATTCACTGTGAATATGAAGTTGATGGCACCGTACACATAGGGTTGGCAAAAACTCTCCAGCGGCCTACGACAGTTTTTCTCCTTTTTGGGGCTCATCATAAACGGGTATCGGCTGGGGTTCGGATGAGTCGCCTGTGAAAACCAGAACTGGTATGCAAATATGTGTATGTTCGAACTATCTCACCGTTCGACCTCAACTAGGACAAAAGGTTGGCGGAAACTCGAGGACTGCGCCTAGCTGATGAGCCCCAAGAGGGGCGAAACCGGTCGTGGATTATCGATCGCAATCTTATGTGTACTGCGTTACGAACATTGTACCGGCCGAAACACGAAGCGGCCTGGTGCAGCACGTTCGGCCGAAGAACAGCAGCATAAACGATAGATTCAGCTGGGTTCCAGGTGAGTTTCCGGTGAAAATCAGATTGTTATGCAGACGAGTGTATCTGTAGAACATTGTTGAGTTCAGCAGCGAATTTGACATCTTCGCAGTTTCTCCTCAGAGTTTGGTCACCAATGGGGGTGGTATCATCAAGTTGTTTCTATGACCCAAGTGTGTGCTAGTCGAATATAAACGACACTGCTCGAAAGCCCTCTTTCGGATTTCAAGAGTGTACCACAGCTCTTTTGCTTTATTAACAGTTAAATAATGTGGCAAAACCAATTCGGAACGACTCCATGTAAATTCGCCCCATAGTCTGAACGACTGCCTAGTCAATTCACAGTTGTCCTGACCATACTCAACTTTAACTTCAGAATTTTCGACCCACCCCGGTCAACGAAAACGATTATGGTCAGTTTTTCAACGGAGACTCCTATATAGTCCTGAGCATCACAAAACGCAATGATAAGTTGGAGTACAATATTCATTTCTGGATCGGACAACACAGTAGTATCGTAAGTCATACTTGTTTCACTTTTATGCATTTTAATACACACACTGGTAGAGTTTATTGTGATTTTTTTAATTTGATACATATAATAAGGTAATAAACAGAAGGGCCAAAAAATCGACAGAATCCGCTTGTTGTCAAATTAAGAGAATTCACAGGAACTCTTGTGAACCGTCAAATAAAATTAACATGATAAAGCCAATAACATTTCCTACCTCAATAAACTTGAACTGCGAACCCTATTTAGAGAAGTCCTTTATTTTTCTGTTTGTTATTTCCAAGCGGAATTTTAGGGAAACCCATAAACAGAGCAAAGTTTTGCACAGAAGTGATCAACCCGTGAGGATGAGCTTTCATTCTCCGACCTTGGAGAAGACACAAAACGGCGAAGTCCGAAAATAACAAAAACCCTATACACACATACGCAGACTGGCTGCCCATTACATAAAATGGCCGATATATTGGTTACTACTGATCCGATTTACTCGGAAATTAGCAAGCTCTTCTTTGCTGTACTTGATTTGGTTGGATTTACGATAAGATACACGCCTGGACGTGGTTTCCTGGAACGCGTTACGAATATAATCTGAACTGAGGCCAAAACTGCAGATGCAGAAACGTATCATAAACCGACTATCTGGGATTCTATTGCTAGCCTAGACTGTCCTAATTTGTCTTTTTCCATCTTAGCCGATTTAAGTCAGATGGAAAGGACTCCTCCTCGCTCGGGATGACCTGAATGTTAAGAGCTGGTGAGGATTATTAAGGTTTATTTCACCGCTATCGGTTGTTACAGTCGTGGTGGACAAAGTTACCCGAGTCACCTGAATAAGACTAGAATTGCCGTGTTTTGGGTCCAGGATGTTCAGGGGGAAAATCCCTGTTCGTTTTCTGCCTTCGCTAGGGAACAAATACACTCAGGAATTGTTTAGGAATCATCTGGGTGAGTACTGCAAACCAGGGCGCTAATTTGGATTTCATCGTGGACACATTAAACAAACCTCACCCTGTGATTATCTATAGGCTATCAAGAGTGATGTACGGAGATAACTGATTTGTTCACCGTTCTGTGGGTTCATGAGCTGTGAATTTTATTGAGCATTCTTTCCACATTCTAACTCTAAGTGACTGGTAATCGGGACAAGCTTGTGCAACTTTACGTTTTGTCCGAATTGAACATACTGTCAAGTTTATTCACTTTTCAGGCAGTCCTATAACACCGTTTTTGCAATTTGTTCTGTCCTAGGACGAATACGGTACAGCTGCCTATAAGACTGTGGAATTGGACACGCTTCTTAATGGGGCAGCGGTTCAGCATCGTGAGGTCGAGAACTTTGAGTCAAAGCTTTTCAAGTCTTATTTCCCAAGTATCCGGTAAGCAAAAAAATGAGAAAGCTGGAAAAGCCGATCCAGCATGGTTCTTTTCAGAAATCTGTTGTCAAATATATGGGCATTCTGTCACAGCAGGGTAACAAATTACTGATACACAGAACCGAGTAAACACAGCAATCTCAAGAAGATACTTTGGCATCTTGAGGCAAAACTGAGAATAACAAAGGGCAAATAGGTACAAGCAAATCCACAATGGGAGTGAAGGGCGTGCAAAAAATTCCTAATTTAACTATCTGGGAATGACTTAGTTTCCATCCTAATGAAATTCAGAGTGACCTGTGAACTTAGCATCTGGAAATACTCAGCGGTCATTTTATGGCTAGATACAAGCCAATTAAATTTTCGTCTTTTTCTTTGCAGTATCCTGAATGGCGGATATGAGAGCGGCTTCCGCCATGTCACACCAAATGAATACCAGCCTCGGCTTCTTCATTTCTGTCTGCAAGAGAAAGAGAAGCTGGTCGTTATGAAGGAAGTTCCTTTGTCCGCCAGTTCCCTCAATTCGGGTGATGTGTTTATTTCGGATTTAGGTTCCACCGCCTATCAATGGAACGGGAAGCATAGCAACAAAGAAGAACGATATTGTGTGAGTTAGATAATTAAACGCCCCCCACCCACCAAGCTCGAAGAATTGTTTTGTCATCGCTCATTTGAAACCACTAACTTCGAACTACTGCTAATCGATTTTGTGTCTCTGGGGAGAGTCTGTGGTTGGTTGATAGTGCTCTTCTTTTACTTAACCCATTTCCAACCAGATTGCAACCTTTGCTAGATAGAGTGCTTCACATCAATCCTCAGCTGACTGACAGCGCCAGAATCTCTCTTCTACAGAATCTCTCTTCTTTCGCGTTCAGCATCGTGAGGTCGAGAACTTTGAGTCAAAGCTGTTCAAGTCTTATTTCCCAAGTATCCGGTAAGCAAAAAAATGAGAAAGCTGGAAAAGCCGATCCAGCATGGTTCTTTTCAGAAATCTGTTGTCAAATATATGGGCATTCTGTCACAGCAGGGTAACAAATTACTGATACACAGAACCGAGTAAACACAGCAATCTCAAGAAGATACTTTGGCATCTTGAGGCAAAACTGAGAATAACAAAGGGCAAATAGGTACAAGCAAATCCACAATGGGAGTGAAGGGCGTGCAAAAAATTCCTAATTTAACTATCTGGGAATGACTTAGTTTCCATCCTAATGAAATTCAGAGTGACCTGTGAACTTAGCATCTGGAAATACTCAGCGGTCATTTTATGGCTAGATACAAGCCAATTAAATTTTCGTCTTTTTCTTTGCAGTATCCTGAATGGCGGATATGAGAGCGGCTTCCGCCATGTCACACCAAATGAATACCAGCCTCGGCTTCTTCATTTCTGTCTGCAAGAGAAAGAGAAGCTGGTCGTTATGAAGGAAGTTCCTTTGTCCGCCAGTTCCCTCAATTCGGGTGATGTGTTTATTTCGGATTTAGGTTCCACCGCCTATCAATGGAACGGGAAGCATAGCAACAAAGAAGAACGATATTGTGTGAGTTAGATAATTAAACGCCCCCCACCCACCAAGCTCGAAGAATTGTTTTGTCATCGCTCATTTGAAACCACTAACTTCGAACTACTGCTAATCGATTTTGTGTCTCTGGGGAGAGTCTGTGGTTGGTTGATAGTGCTCTTCTTTTACTTAACCCATTTCCAACCAGATTGCAACCTTTGCTAGATAGAGTGCTTCACATCAATCCTCAGCTGACTGACAGCGCCAGAATCTCTCTTCTACAGAATCTCTCTTCTTTCGCCACTCTGAGGTGAGCATGGAAAACAGCACTCTGATCGGCAAACGATAGTCGGCATACGCAACACATCCACCAGCTTCTGGTGCTGGACACATTCTTCAACAGAAGTAACCGTTGCACAACCAAAAACCCGCTTTCTAATTGTCTCGTTATGGATTCGCCGACACCAACCCACACGAGCTATGATTCTAAGACAACAATTGTCGAACACTTGAAGATGTCTCAGTTCAGCTGCTCGAACAGGCTCACAGCCATACAGTAGAACGACGTAAGCCGTCATAACTGCTTTGACCTACTAACATGTGCATTTTGGACAGACATCAGTTATCTTCCTTATTCCGGCGAATGACTAGACATACGCTTTCTCGTAAACGTGACCATCTTTCCAATCTTTCGTGTTTTACAAATTGCACCTAACCGTAAGAGGTAGCTACCCATAGAAACGTTATTCTACCAAGCCCTGAGGTATTGCACATACCTGAAATTAAACCGACTAGTAATGATACCCTTAGAAGATGAATCTTCTATCACCAACTCATATTCCATATATGATTTAAAATGATCTGTTTCAGGCAGCTCAGTTCCTTCAAGTGTTGGAAAGCGAACGACTTGGAAGATGCAAGACCTACGTGTTGGACGAGGCTTCGACTGAGGACAATGTAAGCAGAACAACTTGTTCATATGTCACACACAAAATTTGGTAATAACTGTGCAGACTGAGTGGATAGTCATTTTGAAATTAAACAAATTTCGCAATTTTCAGCCTTAATTGTGTTTGGCATAAGTTGGATGTGATCAGTTCTTCCACGAAATATTTGGCTAAATAAACATAACACAGTTTCCATCCCCCTAAATTGGACCTCACTTAGGTCTCTCCAGTGAAATATTTTTATATCCCCCAACTTTCCAGAAATAAAGAGAGCGTCACCAGTGTGAAAGACCCCTAAATCAAACATCTGTTTCTTGAAATATTAAACCGTAGTCTAACCACTTAATGATCGGGCCTAATTAAATTTGGCAAGGTAATTACAAAATCCTGATGATTCGTATAACTACTAACGTACACGTAGAGTTGGGCCACATATTCTAGTAAAGACGCCATTTGATTGTGTATTTAATGACTCAGATGGGCGTGAGATGCCACATTGATAGTCTGGGAAACATTCTAAAATGTTGGCCCTCCCTGCCTATGAAGGCAAGTTCAAAAGACCTCAATTTCTTACTACAAACTGTGCTACTCTCTGATTTAGTACCATGCTGGTTAAAACAAACTGTATATTCATCGGTATCAATTTCGTTTGTCCTATGGGCCGCATAACTAGCTCCCAAACGTTTATGGATTCCGCCTTTGTCCCCGATTAGTGTTGGGCCGGGATCCGTGTTCAAGAAACCCTGGTATCCTAATCCAGACACTGGAATGACTGGAATGACTTTGTGCATTATTCATCACCTCAAACATTCCCACGGGCAATCAGGTTACATGCGTTCCATAAGGCATTTGAATCTTCAAATATGCGAAAGAAACAAACAGTTGTTCTTCATCTTCCGATGTACTAATATTGAGTCAAGTTAGTCGGGTACCAAGCATTGGTACGCTTTGCCTGGTAACTCAACAAACCACACCTGCAGTCAGCCACACGATGCGTTTGGTCTATCGACTCAGTTCAGCAGTAAAACTAGACATGGTGCTCACGAATGAGCACCATTATCTTTTAATCTGCCCCGTAATGGATTTGCGTCTTACAATAACGGGAACTTCGATTCATATTGTAGCCAAGCGGCACAATCTGAACCCTTACAATAATCTGTGGGGGGGGGGTGGATATCTGAAGCTGGACAGCAGTAGCATATCTTGACGGATCAGCCCACTTTCGTTTGCACTCCAGCGTTGATGACGTGTGCATATATTTTTGCTAGGTGGAGTATGCTGGGAAATTTATACACATTATCTAGCCGTTTCATCTTCATCTACGTCGGATATAGCAGCATTTCACCAGTCACCAGGAGGATTCAAATCTATAGCTTTCCGATCAGTAGTTGAACACTATGCCACTGAACTACAGCAGGCTTGTCAACCCGCACTTGGGCACGACACCATCCTGCCTTATTTTGTTTGTTCGAATAGCCTGTCCAAACAATTCCCTTGAATTACCGGAAATCGTGCGTGAACTCCGCTCAAAATTATCATACTCTCCCGATCACAGCAAGAAACTGCTTTCAGGTTCCAAAGCATCTCGTTAAACAGTAAACCTTTCAGCAAAGGACAAAATAAGATAAATTTTTAGCTTTGTTGTCGTCGAACCATGGTGGTTTTTTCTTTTTGCTTTACAGGATGAATTTCTGAGGATACTTCCTGATGTACCAGTGAAAAAGAACAAAACGGACTATGAGATGACTACACGTATGTATAGGTAAGTTGTTTTGACACCACAGTGTATGTCGTTTTTGCGGAGATTTCGTCCTGTAAGTGAAGCCAATCTATGTTGAAAAGCCAAGAAGCCCTGTACAACTGTTTCATCTTTATTGTGAATCATCAGCAGTGCGCATCTCCAGAAACTCCGAAGAGTCTCGAACACGCGAACTCTGGCTATTAGCCCACTTTCGTTTGCACTCCAGCGTTGATGACGTGTGCATATATTTTTGCTAGGTGGAGTATGCTGGGAAATTTATACACATTATCTAGCCGTTTCATCTTCATCTACGTCGGATATAGCAGCATTTCACCAGTCACCAGGAGGATTCAAATCTATAGCTTTCCGATCAGTAGTTGAACACTATGCCACTGAACTACAGCAGGCTTGTCAACCCGCACTTGGGCACGACACCATCCTGCCTTATTTTGTTTGTTCGAATAGCCTGTCCAAACAATTCCCTTGAATTACCGGAAATCGTGCGTGAACTCCGCTCAAAATTATCATACTCTCCCGATCACAGCAAGAAACTGCTTTCAGGTTCCAAAGCATCTCGTTAAACAGTAAACCTTTCAGCAAAGGACAAAATAAGATAAATTTTTAGCTTTGTTGTCGTCGAACCATGGTGGTTTTTTCTTTTTGCTTTACAGGATGAATTTCTGAGGATACTTCCTGATGTACCAGTGAAAAAGAACAAAACGGACTATGAGATGACTACACGTATGTATAGGTAAGTTGTTTTGACACCACAGTGTATGTCGTTTTTGCGGAGATTTCGTCCTGTAAGTGAAGCCAATCTATGTTGAAAAGCCAAGAAGCCCTGTACAACTGTTTCATCTTTATTGTGAATCATCAGCAGTGCGCATCTCCAGAAACTCCGAAGAGTCTCGAACACGCGAACTCCTGGCTATTAGTTTGAACACTGTTAATCAGCAGTGTGATTAACTCGCACGTACACAAGATATAGCGCCGCTCATCCTTCTATCACGGGATTCACATCACTAGGTCACACATGTTGAGCTTTTTGAGCAACGACATCTCTGTGGAAGCCTAGAGCCCAGATCTAAGCTAATCCACTGATGCTAACTCACTTGATGTACACGTGAAATCCTCCACAAGTAAGGTTAGCTTACCCATGGGACGTGTGGTCTTTCGTAAGCACTTGATTCTTAAAATCATTGATAATTCTTTTGTGCATAATTTCACAGAGTGGTTATTGTTCATATTTGTGTGAGTACTGTCTGGTCTAACGTAAAGACGGGCTGCGTTCTTTGTCATCCAGACTCATCAGTGTTCATTACATCCATCAGCCTGACTACCCTTCAAGATAATATTACCTTTCTCGTGACCTTTCGTGTAATTTCCCGGAGCACATTTCGTCAGATAAGCTAAAAATGTTTAGCAGCTTCCAACGGAACCAACAGGATATCCATTTCAGAATGGCTGAATGTCGTTTCATCACAGCAATACCGAGAAATCATACATTTTCCTCTTTACTCCTATCACCTCATTCCAGATTGAGCGACGATTCTGGAGAACTTCGTTTCCAGTTGATTTCGGGCAATGGTGCACCGAAAAAGATGGTCGCAGAAGATGATGTTTACTTCATTGATACCGGAGGCGAGCTGTTCGTCTACATTGGTGGAAAATGCTCGATTCGGGAGAAACAGAATGCCATATCTTATGCTCACGTGAGTTGATCGTTGAGTACCATGCGCCTATTGCCCAGGCTACTCATTTAGGGCAGCCTGTGTTCAGATTAGTAACATTCCAGTATTCTGGAGCGGAATATAAATCTAGTAGACCATTGTGCCACTGACTAATTGCGACTGTATGAATTACGTTCAGGCTGGTAGGCTGTCAAGCTTGACCGCTGCGGGCAGCAGAGTATGAATAATAGTTGACAGTAAACAGAGGCTGTTTAGCTGAAATCCTGCAACAGCCCAGTTAAGTGAAGTTTGGTTCTTCCTTCCGTATTGTCTGGCATTTATTACGCCCATCTGTGCGTTTGTTCGCTGTTAGCGAATTGTGCACAGTTTCTCTTCTCAGAAAGTGGCCGCCAGGCGAATAATGGATACTCTGACTCCGCGTATAAGGATTGTACGTTTAGTTACACTATTCACATAGGATAGTGGCTCAGCACTATGATGGCTCAAACCATTCTACCTACTTAGCGAGCACCGTTAGCATGTTTCCACTCCAGACGTAACGCGGAGGTTGCTGAAAACATTCCAACAGCAGAAGACACATTTTTCTCTTCTTGAGGCTCATTACGTAGACTGAGTCCCCGACTTCCCGTCAAACTTATGTTCTACTCAGGCCCAAATGAGACGTATTTCGACAAACCCTCCAGTTTGCACGCGACATTAGTTCTGGCAGAAGACTCAACCTAATCCAGCTGAATCGCTCGTTTGCGATGCTCTACTTCACATACATATCGGTGCAGGAGCAAGAAATTTCCTTGACAATGGTGAATAATAATGGTCGTGCAGGTTGCACAAATGAATGTCCATCTGTTCGTTGATATTGGCAATTTGACTCAAAACGTGTCCTCATCGAACTAGTTGACACCGTGAGCACACAGTAAGTAAGCAGTGCACGAAGTATGGGCTTGCACAGTGAACTACCACCAAGCTGCGACTCACCGCTAATTTACTGTGCGCGGCTACGACAATTTCGACAAATACTCAACCCAGCTAACAGAAAAGCATCTGGGAGGACTAACTTAGTGGAACACATTCAGTGTCCTTAATTAGTTTACTGATTTGTGCCAGCTGGCGTCCCAATAATTGTGTCTGATAGACTGGTACGTGGTTGCAGGAAACGGATCCGAGTTAGGTGCATGGGTAGCGAATTACGTAAGCTCTCGTGTATCTATTCTATTTCATTTTCTCACCTTCCTCTGCTACAGAGTTATCTACAACAAACAACGCATCCACTGATCCCAGTGACGGTGCTGACCGCCGGTCAGCATTGCAAAACCTTGGAGGATGCGTGGGACAAGGATAGAACCAAACACTATTTGGAGATCCCAGCAGCAAGCTAACCAGCCTGTTTTCCAGCTCTGAGTTTCCATTATGCCAACTTTCCTAACCCACATGAACTGTGTCTGTGTGTGTGTGTAAACGTTGGTCACTTACTTGACTCGAACACTGTTTCCCTATGGTTTTCTCTTATTAAATAATGAAATGCAACAGATTCGTTTATCCTAATTTCTCGGGGAAGGAAATATTTTTCCAACCTGGAACCATTGCTGCTCACCTAGCCCGCTTGATGCTTGCATAAATGGGTCGAACAGAACACTGGTTTTTAGACAGTACCCTTAAGAATAAGTGTGTATATTGCACGAATATGCGTGATCCGGTTTAGATATCAGGATGCAAAAGGTCGTTCTTAGGCCACAGTGAAACATTTTCCTGGCTTTTCTTTTGAGGCGCTCATTGACAAGACGTCGGCTATTAAAGTGTTTCCCAGCGTAGTAGAATATCTACGACATTTGAGTAAGTAATCCCGTTTAGCTGTGCAAAACATCCGTTGGAGCTATTCTATTCTTTCATCTGTAGCATGAACATTCCTCTGGTGCGGTAGCAATCATTAGCTTCTTTCACATCTCCAACAGTCGGGGCGGTGTTTTCGACTAATTGAGGAAATGAAGCTATTTCATTGACCCAAATGGCTATTTGAGCAGAACAGTGGATATCCTTTTAGATGCTCCTCTGCTGACCAATTTTAACAACTGTTACACTATATAAACCACATAGAATTGTACAAAATACTCACACTGGAATCAGGGTTGGCGCTTAATCTGATCGTGGCTCGATTGGATCAAGCTGCGGGGAGAAACTAACCAATTAACAGAACCAAAGCGTTCAGTGCAGGCAAATGGACCAGTAAAACTACCCTGTAGTAAACCAAAACATCCCACTTTTAAAACACATCAGGGCGCGTAATTGCGGTATCACGTATTGATGATGTTTCCTCGATTGATGACTGAACGCTCTCCGAGGAAGATTCACAACCTGGGCGAACGAATCAGAAGCCGTGACCAACAACGTGTAACCCAAGATGAGCTAGCGACATACTGCCAAAAACCTCATTCCAGAGCACCGTGAAACTCACTACAACAAAGCGCCAGGTTACATTGTATGGTTTGGTTTTCCACCTGCAGACACATGGACTACACTACTAGGCTTTACCAGGCATCCAGTCTCTCTCTACAAAAGGACAGAGATTCTACTAAAAGGAGATACTTATGATGACACGCAGATCTGATGCCTGCAAACGCCACTGATTAGTCAACAAATAGTCCTGCCAAGTATTGGTTTTGTCCCCTCAAATGGCCAGTGAATTAAACTTTTATCCCAGGAACCCACGTGATTCAAGGTTCACAGTCTCCAGCTGTGGAGCGCAAGCCAACGAGTTGAGGCCTGGTTAACTCATCTGAGCGCGAATAACGCCCTCAATACTCAGAAGTTGTTATCGTTGTTCCTACTTTGTAGTGAACAACGTCAGGCTAGAAGTATCCCTTCTAACTTCCCTGGCTCCTTTGATGTGGGTATTGGATATTGAATGATGTCCATTTAGTGTAACCAGTCCATGCGCTGACTCCTTGCTTTACGACACAATGTCACAAAGGACATTTGATTGAGTACTCGCTCGATTAGAAATAGAGTCCATGCTGATCCTTTATCCGAATACAAGTTAAGGTTAATATCCATGTAAAAGTGTGCAAGGCTCATTTTTTACGGTACATTTTCGAAAATGTGAGCTTAGATCCAACCCAAAGTCAGACGAAGGCTCCTACTCAGGTGTCCTCCACATGAGTAGTGTCTGGGGATGCACGAAATTCGCAGACACTCCGTTTTAATCTATTTTGAGCCCAGAAGATGAAAGTTGTCTCCGGAATCCAAGAAAACTAACCCCTGACTTGAACGCCTATTCGGTCGCAAGTTTTGCTTGGTGCTCATACGCGTGATGAACTTATAGAAACGAAGCGGTCGATAGAATGTCTCCCCGCTTATGGTGCATTTCCAACGGAAGAATGAGTTAGTTAAACAGCTGCGCATTATGTTTTGTGAATAACGATACACTGTTGACTACTGAAGACTTTTTCGAGTCCACAGTCTGAGTAATATCGTCATGCGGATCAATCGTATACCACAGGATATTCTGTCAAATGTCTACAATTCTTAGAGAATATTTGTGAGCTCTTTTAGTGATACTGCACGACAGACAATATTCCCGACGAAGGTCACCACTCAGGTTGGGCTGGAATAACCTTTCCTGTGAACTAAACTTATCCTAGTAGACAGGAGTGAATCGAAGCGAACCCAGCCATTTCTGAGGAAATCTCACCCACTTCTTCTACTTCGCCATGAATCGGTCTTATAATGCGTACATTGCGGATATAATGCCGAATACATGTACAGTATGCTTCAGGTAAAGCATAAGCCTGACGGAGATCTGGTGGTCCTGCCTACCTAATGAGCCTCAAGAGAGATGAAACTATCAGTGTTCTGTCAAAACGTTTTCGGCAACCTGATAAGTAGTGGATTATTTCAAGCAAAAACTAGCTTTTATTTTTGAGGTATTCTCTTTATGTTTCTGGAGCCGAACTACCAACAAACAACAAGCAAGAACAAGTAGGAACGTAGAACAAAGCCAGTCATTTTGTCGCTCAGTTATGTCTGGTTCTTAACTCCAAGATAAGCAGATAGCCTTGTTCAAGGTCTTTTATACATACAGTATCGGAAAATATGGTCTGTTCAGCATAGCCTTGCTGAAAGCTAACAAGTTTCGATTTAACTCGGAGAGTAAAGTGCTGAGAGCTGTTTTGGGATCAGTTCTCTAAACAGTGGTTCGATGTGCTTTGTATTCGATGAGCCACTTTTCCGGATCTGGGCTTACAGTTTGAGTGTCGATCGATCACTCACGTGATTTAAATGACGGGTAAAATGTTCTGATACGCATACGCGTAAGCTACTACATGTTCTATCACAGTCAGTTTTATAACAGATACTTACGTCGGTGCAAAACAAATGGTGGGCGGCTGGACAAGCGCCATCATTTACAGCAAGTATTTCGTATCGGTGGCTTTAGTTAAATCGTATCGCTATTTCCGTCATAAAGAAGCAATTTAGTTCTTCAGGTTTCAGCCCAAAAAAACGGATATCCTTTAAATTTCGTTCTGGATTCTGGTGATGAAACCTTTTCGGGATGACAAATCTGGACCCTTCCTTAGCTGCATAAGTGAAGATCGAACGTCAAATTCACATTGTGTCCAAGACCTAAATGTCAGCCATCTAGTAGGGTACTGCAAAATCTTAAAAAGGCAGGCGTTTTGTCAAGACAATTAGTTGATGATTCACAAAGCAACAGCAGCGCTTGGTTCTCAGACTTCAGGAATCTCAGACACCAAACACTAATTTAATTTGCCTAGGTCACAGCTGTTCGGTTGGTTTAAAGAGTCAAATAACGAAAAAGAGCTGGCGAATTGTGGAAGCAGTTAGAATGGTTACATTCATTTACTTAACTACCTATCTATCTATCTATCTATCTATCTATCTATCTATCTATCTATCTATCTATCTATCTATCTATCTATCTATCTATCTATCTATCTATCTATCTATCTATCTATCTATCTATCTATCTATCTATCTATCTATCTATCTATCTATCTATCTATCTATCTATCTATCTATCTATCTATCTATCTATCTATCTATCTATCTATCTATCTATCTATCTATCTATCTATCTATCTATCTATCTATCTATCTATCTATCTATCTATCTATCTATCTATCTATCTATCTATCTATCTATCTATCTATCTATCTATCTATCTATCTATCTATCTATCTATCTATCTATCTATCTATCTATCTATCTATCTATCTATCTATCTATCTATCTATCTATCTATCTATCTATCTATCTATCTATCTATCTATCTATCTATCTATCTATCTATCTATCTATCTATCTATCTATCTATCTATCTATCTATCTATCTATCTATCTATCTATCTATCTATCTATCTATCTATCTATCTATCTATCTATCTATCTATCTATCTATCTATCTATCTATCTATCTATCTATCTATCTATCTATCTATCTATCTATCTATCTATCTATCTATCTATCTATCTATCTATCTATCTATCTATCTATCTATCTATCTATCTATCTATCTATCTATCTATCTATCTATCTATCTATCTATCTATCTATCTATCTATCTATCTATCTATCTATCTATCTATCTATCTATCTATCTATCTATCTATCTATCTATCTATCTATCTATCTATCTATCTATCTATCTATCTATCTATCTATCTATCTATCTATCTATCTATCTATCTATCTATCTATCTATCTATCTATCTATCTATCTATCTATCTATCTATCTATCTATCTATCTATCTATCTATCTATCTATCTATCTATCTATCTATCTATCTATCTATCTATCTATCTATCTATCTATCTATCTATCTATCTATCTATCTATCTATCTATCTATCTATCTATCTATCTATCTATCTATCTATCTATCTATCTATCTATCTATCTATCTATCTATCTATCTATCTATCTATCTATCTATCTATCTATCTATCTATCTATCTATCTATCTATCTATCTATCTATCTATCTATCTATCTATCTATCTATCTATCTATCTATCTATCTATCTATCTATCTATCTATCTATCTATCTATCTATCTATCTATCTATCTATCTATCTATCTATCTATCTATCTATCTATCTATCTATCTATCTATCTATCTATCTATCTATCTATCTATCTATCTATCTATCTATCTATCTATCTATCTATCTATCTATCTATCTATCTATCTATCTATCTATCTATCTATCTATCTATCTATCTATCTATCTATCTATCTATCTATCTATCTATCTATCTATCTATCTATCTATCTATCTATCTATCTATCTATCTATCTATCTATCTATCTATCTATCTATCTATCTATCTATCTATCTATCTATCTATCTATCTATCTATCTATCTATCTATCTATCTATCTATCTATCTATCTATCTATCTATCTATCTATCTATCTATCTATCTATCTATCTATCTATCTATCTATCTATCTATCTATCTATCTATCTATCTATCTATCTATCTATCTATCTATCTATCTATCTAT